TCCCAGGTCCTTAGGATCAGGGCTGCCCCCAGGACCCCTTCCTATATCCTCGATTCTCTGCCTGGAGTTCCTACCCAGGCTGCCTGGCCAGGGCCACTGCCTCCTTAGCATGCAGGAGGCTCCCCTGCAGGGAGCCCCAGCTCTGGGGCTTGGGGGTGAGGGTAAGCCCTGAACAGACCTCTGCCCGGCAAATGGCTCCATGAGGTCTGAGAGAGCAGCCACCCCTGGCTGGCACCACAGACCCACACAAGGAGCCTGCACAGCAAGCCACCGGTGACACACCTGCAGGTGTCAGGCATGGTACTGGGCACAACTGGGACCTGGCAGGAGAAACAGACCACAGAGAGGTCTGGAGTTGAGGCTGTCATCAGCAAAGCCCCTGATCCCACACAGCTCTGCCCTGGAGCCACCTCTTTGGCCCTTTACCCACCCTGAGGCCAGGATGTGCAGCCCCTCTGCAGATCTCCTCTGGGCTTGCAGCCGCTCTAATGGGCTTTTTCTCTCCTGCATTCCCTGGCCTGGAGGGTTGAGGGACCCCACATCCTCTCTGCTCCTCAAACTCACACCCCCTCCATGTTACCTCCCACACCTCCTCCCTGGGGCAGCTGCTCCCTGGGCCACTGAGGACGTCGGCTCCTGGCTCCCTGCCTCTCTCCCACTCCACTCGTGGCTCAGTCTTTGAGGTTTCTATGCCCTCATGGATTCTGCCTCTGCATTCCTGGCCTCTTGATTCTTGGCTTGCCTCTCCTCCAATTACAAATTTAGTGAAACAGCCTTAAACATTTTAAGTTGTATGTATAAATTTGGCGCATTCATGCTTTTTCAAAAGCATTTCAAATGTCAAACCAGGAAGGCACCCCACTGTATTAGCTCTATACTGCTGCTGTAAAATTTATCACAAACTTAGTGGCTTAAAACAACACAAACTTATTGCAGTTCTGTAGTCTGGAAGTCCGACTACGGGTCTCACTGGACTAGAGTCAAGGCTGGCAGGCTGCCTTCCTTCCTGGAGGTCCTGGGGAGACTCCATCTGCTGCTCCTTCAGGCTGCTGGCAGGACCCACACCCTTTCGTTGGCAGGGCCAAGGTCCTCACTTCCTTGCTGTCTGTAGACTGGGGCCACTCCCAGCTTGTACAGGCTGCCCACATTCCTTGGCTCTTGGCCCCTCCTCTATCTTCAAAGCCAGCAGGTTCAGTCTGTGTCAAGAACCATTTCTCTGGTTCTCTGAAGCCGGGAAAGGTTGTCCTTAAGGACTCATGAGATCAGGTTGGGCCCAACCAGATAACACAGGTTAACTTCCCTCCTCCAGGCTTTTTAATATTAATCACACCTGCAGAACACATTTTGCCATGTAAACTAACGTTCACTGGTTCCAGGGATTAAGGAATGAACCTCTTTTGTGGGAGAAGGGTGGCATTCTGCCTACCACAGCACCCCAACAAAAAAACAAAAACCAAAGCAAGACTTACCAAGGCATATCAAATAAATTAAATGTACAAAATAGTGAATCTCAGTTATCTTAACCATTCCAATACCATTTACAAAATGATTCAAATTCTCTGACCTTCCAACTCAGAATTCGAAATCTAAAATAATTTCCATGTCCTAGATGGAAATCCTGATGCTAAGCTATCCAATTATGCATGGTCCTAAATGGTTTCAGTGGCAAATACGTAACATTGTACTAGTGATTAAACTGAACTTAAAAGCATCAATACTACCATTGCTGCACGTAATCACGTCTGTTGAATTTTTCCTTTTAAGTTTTATCTGTTCAGAATTATATGCATATTGCTTTAAAGTGGAATGGGCTTTTTTTTTTGAGGCCAATAATAGTAAATGCAGGCTCCTGCCCTGATCCTCCCCAAATTCAACTCTCTTAACTGTTCCTTCAGGCATTTGAAGTTCATGTTTCTCAAACTCACGGGCATGCCTTTACTCCGGTTTATTAGTTTTTCTACATTAGGTGTCCCCAGCTGGCATCCTCTGGGAGGAGGGTGGCCACCTGCCTCAGTCTCCTTATGCAGCATCAGTCCTGTGTGATGGGCATCACAGCTGCATGGGTATTATTAAGGCTTCATCACCACACATCTCAGGCGAGAACAGGGTGTTCTAGGACGGCATTTCTTGCACAACTTTTTGTTTTCCCTGGGGTTAGTAATTGCCTAGTTTTTTTTTGTTTGTTTGCCTAGTTTTCTATATGTGTTTGTCATCGATCATCTTTCGACTTTCCTGAAGAAGCATGAATATCCTCTCAGAGCTTAGGACTCATCACACAACTGACTGCTCACTTTTTTCTCTTCCTAGAGCCCCCTGCCCAGGCTGCTTGTTCTCGGACTTGTGGCCCAGCATGGGTTAACTCTTCCCCGGGGTCCTGGAATCCTTTCCTCTTCCTTCATGTGCCCCGTTTGAGGAGGAACATCCTCCAAGTTTCCCAAGAGGGTGCATAGGAAGTGAAGGAGTCTTTGCCTGTTTGTCTTTATGCTAACCTCACATATGCTTGACAGTGTGACTAGTTACAGAAAACTTGGCTTGGTTGAAAATACTTATTCCAAGGATTTTGAGGGTGTCACATCATTTTCTTCTAGTTCCAAGAACTCTTGTGCCTTTCTGAATTCTGGCTCTTCACCTGTGATCTCTTCTTTGTGTTTTTTACTTTGTCCCATTCCTTTGGAAATTCTCAATGATACGTCTTGATGTACAACTTCCCTTACACCCGTTGTTCAGAAAACATGACTGTTTGGTTCTAGGAAATTTTCTTGATTTATCTCTTTGTTGGTTTCTCTCATTTCCTTATTTTCTGGACAGTTTATTTAGACGTTGGACTTAAAAAAAATTTTTTTTTTTGAGACAGGGTCTGGCTCTGTCACCCAGGCTGGAGTGAAGTAGTGGGATCACAGCTCACTGTAGCCTCCAACTTCTGGGCTCAAGTGATCCTCCCACCTTGGCCTCTCTAGTACCTAGGACTACAGGTGTGTGCCACCACATCCAGCTGGTTTTTTAAAAATTATTTTTTTATAGAGACGTGGCCTTGCTATATTTCCCAGGCTAGTCTTGAACGCCTGGGCCCAAGTGATCCTCCTGCCTCAGCCTCCTGAAGTGCTAGGAAGGCAGGTGTGAGCCACCGTGCCTGACCTGGGCTTCTCTTTTGAGATGCAGTCGTGCAGTGGCAAGAGCACAGGCTCTGGAGCCATTCTACCGCTCCCTGCCTTGTGATGTTGCACAAAGGTAAAATGGTAAAAATGGTAAAATGGGGATATTTTCGGTAAAAATGGGGATAACAGCTGTACCCACTGCGTGGTACTGCGTTGTGAGGATCCCACGAGTGAATGTGTATGAGAACAGTGCTGGGCACCATGTGCCCTGAGTACACATTATTGTCAAGGGAACCCGTCGCCAGAGGGTAGTGCTTATGGCTTCACCTGGTGGTGGTGGCAGACCAGCCCCCACCTCCCATCCATCCTCTCCATTGTGGAGGCCTAGTGTGCCAGGCTGGCCCTAAGAGCCCCTGCCTGTTACTGCTATTCTGTTTTCCAGCTATCTGGTCTTGTTGTTATCCATTCTGGAAGACTTTATCCTTTTTTTTTTTTTTTTTTTTTTTTGAGATGGAGTTTCACTCTTGTTGGCCAGGCTGGAGTGCAATGGCACAATTTCAGCTCACCTCAGTCTCCACCTCCTGAGTTCAAGCGATTCCCCTGCCTCAGCCTCCCGTGTAGCTGGGACTATAGGCATGTGCCACCACGCCCGGTAAATTTTGTATTTTTAGTAGAGACATGGTTTCTCCATGTTGGTCAGGCTGGTCTCAAGCTCCCAACCTCAGGTGATCTGCCCACCTCTACCTCCCAAAGTGCTGGGCTTATAGGCATGAGCCACCATGACCAGGCGGAAGACTTCATCTTAAACCCTATTGAATTGCTCACTTTCCCTTCATATATTTTATTTCTAAGAGCTCTTTCTCATTCCGTGTGTTCTTTCTCTACAGCCTCCATTTCCTTTTTGTGGGCTGTAACACCTTTAATATCTCTAAGAACGGTGTTTTAGTTTTCATTTTTCTTCTGTTTCCTTTATTGTCTCTGTTCCTTCTGAGTCCCTTTTCTTCTTTCTCTGGTGTCTGGTGATCCTGGGCTGTCCAGTTGCATTTAAGAGTGAGATGCTTTTAGTGGCTGGTATTTACGGCCTGGGGAGCTTCAAGGCCAGTGATCTGGCTGGGCCTTTCTACTGGGCACCCCTCTGCCCCTAGCTGCCAGTTTTGAGCTGGGAGCTGCTGCAGAGAGGAACCCTCCTCTCTAAGGGGCCTGATGGCATGCTGGAGGCCAGACCCAGCCCAGGGGTGGAGGTAGGGGAAGGGGCCAGAGTCTCCCTTACTCTCAGGCCTTCAGACATGGCCTTGCTTAAGTGGGGCCTCAGAACTCCTCTCCGGGAGCTCACATCCCAGCCACCGCAGGGCCTGCCAGCCCCAGCAGGTAGGGACAGAGGTCTGGGGTTTCCTTTCTGTGGCTGTGCTTTCACCCACGACCCTCAGACACCAGCCTCTGTAGCCGAGTGGGCTGCGGCAGCTCTGGCTGTCCACCTTCCTCCAGCTCTGTCATACCCCAGCTCTTTGCCCCTGCAGGGTTTCTCTTTATAAAACCCCTTTCCTATCATTTCAGAGGGTTGCAGGAGGGAGGCGGGGAATATCCTGCCCTATTTAAGTAGAAGTGTCTGTATTAAATGCCAAACGTTCCCAGGGTTGAAAGGAGGCCTGCCCTGCTGCATAGAGAGGATGCCTTGTGGTCTCAGGCAGCTGAAGGTGCCTGAGCCTCCAGGTGTGGCTCCTTCAGATGACCGTGTTGAGGTCTCGGGACTGGCTGTAGCAGATGGCAAACGTCCAGGACAGGCAGCTCTCCCGGCAGCACTGATGGACACCTTGGGCCACGAAAGCCAGTTCAGGGACTAAGGGGGCCTGCGGGCCGAGCGACCGATGTCAGCCAGCCTATGGCGCTGGGGGCTGAAGAATCCCTGGAAGGCGAAAAGCCTGCCAATAAAGGAGGCTTCCCGACCCCAGGGATGTCGCGACTCAAGGACGACGCATCTCACGACGTGACCCTGAAATACGCGGGCCTTTCGCCACCCGAGACTCCTCCAGCCCAGGAGGGCCCCGCTCTTTCCCCTGCCTCCTCGCGGAGAGCCTCTGGACGACGCCCGCGACGGCGTTTTCTGCAAAAAAGGCCGAGAAGAGAAGCGTAGCAGGGGCCGCAGGGGCGAGGGGCGCCAGGCGCACCCATGTCGGCCACGCGGACAGGCTCTCCCGGTTCGGGCCCCACGGCGCGCGCTCCCGGCCGCCCAAGTCGCAAGGCCCCGCCCTCGCCCCGCCCCGCCAGGGGCACGCCCCTTCCGTCGCCCCCTTGGGGGCGTTAACCATCCCTCCCCGCCCCGGAAACACGTTGTTACCTCGTTCCTCGCGAGAGTTCCGTGCGCCGGCGCCCAGATCGCGCGAGACCGCGGAGGGAGCAGGAGTGGGTGGCGCGCGCGCGGCGGCCGCGACGGACGCAAGATGGCGACGGCGACCATAGCTCTCGTAAGTGAGCCCCTGTGACCGCGGGCGGCCCTCCGCTGGTGGGGGCGGGTCATTGGCCCAGCCTGGGCGCAGAGGGCCTCCCAGGGACGCGGCGGTCTTCTCAGACCCCGCGCGGAGTCCCTTGCGGCCCCGGGTCGCGCGAGGCGGGGGCGGGGCGGGCGCGCGCCGGCGGCCTGCAGGAGGCCTCAGTTTCCGGCCTGAGGACCCCAGCTTCCGGCGGGGCGGGGCGGGGCGGGGGCCCGGGCGCGGCGTGGGGCCCCGGCGGGCGAGCCAGCGAGCCTGGCGGGGTTGCCTTTCTGCCCGCTAGGTCCGGCAGGCGGGGGTCGTTGTCCTCCCTCTGCCGACGGGTGTGCGCGCTGTGGTCACGACGGAAGTGGGGTCCTGGGGGCGACGCGTGGGCCTTCGGGTTGATGGGATCAGAAGGGGACGGGACCTGGATGTGGAAAGGGGTCTGCAGCTCAGAGCATGGGGTGACCTTGGCTCACTGCGCCTGCAGCCGTGAATTCGCTCTCCAGTGCTCGTAAAGGGGTCTGGGTGTCTTCATTCTCTTATCCCCACTCGGGAAAGAAGGACGTGCTCTCTCCCCTCCTATGTATTTTGAGAAGTCGCATTGTCCCAAGCTCTACGGGAAGATTTGGCCGCACAGTGGGGAACTAGGCAGTCGGAGGTCTAGTGCCCGCCAGAAGCCAGTTCCCAGCCAGGGTGCCATGTGCAGGGCGTCCGAGGGAGCTGCATGGGCATCCAGAGGAAGGAGCCGCCCCCTGCTCTGCTCAGTGCCCACCTCTCCGGGCAGGACAGGCGTTATTAACGTAGAGGGAGAACACCCATGCACACAACACATCATGCGTGATGAAGTCTGGTCTCTTCTCCACCCCACTTAGCTTAGAGGACCTAATTCCCTCTTGCGTTTTTCTCAGCCACAGTTCATCCCTTTGTTATTTGCCAGTCTCCCTGCAGCCCACACCCACTGGGATGGGTTAGGTCTGTTCGAGAAGACAACTTGGGTGAGTGACTGAAGACTGGATTGATAGAACCAGGAAGTATCTTTAGACTGCCTTTGCCAGGCCCCCGCTGGGGGGCTGGACCCATGTCCCGCTGAGGCAGAAACCAGTTCCTAGCGGGAGAGAGGCATTGTGAGGGCACATAGTGTGTGATTCACAAGGCTGGCTAACTCTACTCTTTCTACCATGTTCTTGAAGTCACAGGAGTAAGTGACCTTTGAGGGGCATGTCAGAGAGAAAGGGGGTAAGGGTTGAGGATTTGGTGACCTCACGGAGAGGCTGTCTCCAGGCAGCAGTCAGAGAGTTGATGGTGAAGGATGGACACGTGGGAAGGTGGAGGAAGAGAGTGGATGCCTCATCCCCCCAGTTACCCGCAGAATAGCACCCTGTGCCCATGAGGGCTAAATGGGGGCTCAGGTCTGCTGTGGCGTGGTGCCAGATAGGTGGTGGTGGTGTTGAGTTGGATGTGGGCCATGGTGACCCCATGAACGGGTTCTCATTTGGGGTGTTCGGTGCCATCTGAATTCTGTTGGGGTTAACAAAGGTTTTTTCATTGTCGGAGTTCCAGCTTGCTGCATCAGGCTCCAGGAGAGAGCTGTAGCCGGTGGTCTAAGCCATTTCTCTTTTAATGATTGGGATGGAAAGGCTTCTAGAAGGGTTGCCTGTTACCACCATCCTGGTTGGGCACAGTGGTGAGAGCCTGTTTCCCGTCTCATGCTGCTTCGGCTCTTACGGGAGGTTAAATGGAGCAGCTGAACTTGGCCAACAGTGGCCTGGTGGGGAAGGAAGCTGGAAGATACATAAGGGTGGGCATGCCTTCTGCCTGGTGGCTGCAGAATGAGCCCGGCTGCCTCTTCGCAGCAAGGGTAGGTCTTCTGGATGTGTTGCTTCACTCTGACGCTCGGCTCCATTCTTCTCTTCACTGACAGCCCAGCCAGCTCTCATGTGGGGTCATCACCCTTGCGGTCCCAGTTGCTTTTTTCCTTAGGCACCCAGCCTGCAGTGTCACCTCGCAGAGGCCCCCTGGCTGCCAAGGGTGCCATGGCCTAGCACACCTCATAGCTGCTCTCTTCTTGTCCTGTGCTTTCCTCGTCGTGCTGGTAAACTGCAGAAGTCTTCTTTGATTTTTGCGTTCTTTGTCTGCTGGCAGCTGACATCAGGCTCCTGAGAGATGTCTTTCTTTCTTGTCTTATTTCTGCTGTCTCTGCAGTGCTCAGTGTGGAGCCTGGGCACACAGCAGCGTTCGCCATATGAAGGGAAGTGACAGATAGAGGCGAGGAGATGTCCTGCAGCCACCTCTCTCCTCGGTGTCTGACACTGGTTCTTGTCAACAGTGCTGGTGATTGCTGGAACCTGTGACTTGCTTTGCTGCTTTCTGTGTGCAGGGGCTTCGGGTTGGGGGGTTGGGGGGGGTGCTGGGATTTCACTGAATCTTCACAGTAGCCCTAGGAAACAGGCCATCCCCCTTCCCAGCTGAGGCGCCTGACGACTTGAGACCTTGGGTCATTTGCTCCATGTTACTTCTTTTTTTTCTCTTTTTTTTTTTTTTTTTTTTTCTTTTGCGATGGAGTCTCGCTTTGTTGCCCAGGCTGGAGTGCAGTGGGGCGGTCTCGGCTCACTGCAACCTCCGCCTCCTAGGTTCAAGCAATTCATGGTAGCACCTCAGCCTCCCAAGTAGCTGGGATTATAGGCGCCCACCACCATACACAGCTAATTTTTGCATTTTTAGTAGAGATGGGGTTTCACCATATTGGGCAGTCTGTTCTCGAACTCCTGACCTCAAGCAGTCCACCCACCTTGGCCTCCCAAAGTGCTGAGATTACAGGCTTAAGCAATTGCATCCAGCCCACGTTACTTTAAAAAAAAAAAAAAAAAATTCATAGAGACGGGGTCTTGCTGTGTTGCCCAGTCTGGTCTCAAGTTCCGGGGCTCAAGTGATCCTCCTGCATCGGCCTCCCAAGTGCTGGAGTTACAGGTGTGAGCCACCACGCCTGGCCCCTACTTTCCTCTTCTTGTCTTCGGGTGGAAATACTCCTCTTTGGGCTGAGGAACGGCAGTACCAGAGTTGGCACCCCAGAGCCCCACTGTGGTACCACCCTTCAGGGGGCTTCCCATCCTTCCAGGCACCGCTGCCTGGTGCTCGGGGGCATCCTGACCACAAAGCCTCCATTTTCATTGCCTAAAGATGGCTACATGTGATTAGGTGCCATCATAAACATCAGTTTTCTCCAAGCTCTCACAGTGTCTGCTTTGCACAGAACCCTAAGCTGCATGCAGCTGGGAACTTCCATCTTCTGCCATGAATGGCGGTGGGCTGGCTTTTCCCAAGAAAAAGCTTTTCTGAGCCATGCCCCATGGTCAACACTGTTGTGGTTCACGTGTTGGCTAGTGCAGGGATTTGGGGGAGCACGAAGTTACGAAAGTGCCCAAGTTCACCCTGTTCGCGGGTATCTGGAGACTGGACCTGAAGCTATCTCTTGTTGTGGGCAGTGAGAGGCAGCCTTGGCTGGGCATGGTGGCCCATGCCTGTAGTGCCAGCACTTTGGAGGTTGAGGTAGGTGGATTGTTTGAGACCATCCTGGGCAACATGGAGACCACTATCTCAAAAATACAAAAATTAGCTGGGTGTGGTGGCATGTGCCTGTAGCCCCAGTTACCTGGGAGGCAGAGGTTGCAGTTGCACCAACCACACTCCAGCTTGGGTGACGGAACCAGACCCTGTCTCAAAAAAAAAAAGACAGGCAGCCTCTGCTCTGGTTGTGCGTGCAGTGGGAGGGGCCCGTGTCAGAGGGGTCCTTGTTTCTTTTCACTCTTTCCGGGGCACAGTGTCTAGGCAGCGTGGGACTGATGTGGGCAGCTAGAGTACACCCATGCCAGCAGCATCGACAGCAGCTCTGGGCACGGGCTGGTTGGCCTGCCCTGCTGCAGCTGGGCTTGTGCTGCTTCCCCTCCTCTGGAGGCTGGAGGACCTGGGACGCTTTGGTGGGTCAGCCCAGCTTCTGGCTTTGTGCACATGGCTCCAAGGATGGGCACACTGACCTCCTCTGTCCTTAGATACTGTGGGTCTCGTCCTTGAGCTGGAAGCGGCATGATGCATGCTACCTTTGGTTCTCATTGCGCAGCCTCTGAGAAGGTAGAGTAGGTCTCAGGGCCCTTCCACTAAGTCTCCCGACCCCCACATTGTTCCCTGTCTCCTGCCCGTGACCTGTCTTTGCCCTGCCATTCCTCAAGACCATGGTGGAGCTGCTTCTCCCCTCTGTGCCCCCGTGGGTGTGGGTCTTACTGAGTGCAGAGGGCCAAGCTCTTGGCTGTCCTCCGGGGAGATAGCTGTGGTCGGTTCCATTACCAGGGAATATGGATGCCTGAAAAGCTTCTTCAGGAGAGAGCTGGGACCTGGGCTTGGCCAGAGCCCTGGAAGGCACTGGGGCTGGGGCTGAGTTGTGGGCTGGCCAAGGTGTATGCAGACTGCTCGAGAGGCACCCCTGCTGCCTCAGGAGGGCATGGGGGGCAACCAGCTAGTCCCTTTGGGCATCCAGCCTGCTGGCAGGAGAGGATGGCTTTCCTTGGCCTGGGGCAGGAGCACAGCTCTCTCTACCCTCCTCCCTGTCCCTGTTGGGACTTACTGGAAGCTCTGGCCTGGCCCAGACTCCACTCTGCTTCTGACCGGGTCTTTCGGCTTGCTGATGGGTGTGAGGAGAGGGCAGTTTGGGCTGGGGGCTCGTATCAGGAATGCATCCCTGCCTGGCCTCCCTTGCTCATCCCTGAGGAGCTCAGCCCTTAGCTTGAGAGGAGAGCAGGCCTGGGCGGTGGGGTGGCATGCCTGTCCATTTCAACATCTCCTTCCTGCCTGCAGCAGGTCAATGGCCAGCAAGGAGGGGGGTCCGAGCCGGCGGCGGCAGCGGCGGCGGCGGCGGCAGTGGTGGCAGCGGGAGACAAATGGAAACCTCCACAGGTACTGACCTTAAGCATCCTCTCCCTCAGGCCCACCTGACTGCCTGCCCGCCCGCCTGCCTGTACATCCCTGGGCCCAGAGAGGGCTGGCCAGGGGCGGGGCGGGAGGAGCCTTGGGGACCCTTCTCTGCCTTCTGGGTAGACAGCTGCCTGCAGGACCACGGCCCTTGCCCTGCGCCAGTCCTGCACCCTTCCCACCCAGCCATGGAGCCGGCCTTTGCCCTCTGTGTCTACCCTGCACCACGCACCAGGAGGGGCCTGTTGACGGTGCCGGGCAGGGGCATCCGGGCCTGGAGCTCGCATGTTCTTAGGTATTGGCGTCTTGCAGGAAGGGTGAGCCGCTGTTCTAGAATGTGCGGCACTTTACTAGCCAGAAATACAGATTTCAGTTCAGAGTTCTGTGTTTTAATTTAAATAATGAAGCAATGCGCAAATCAAAGCACAGATCTGGTGGGGACTCAGCCCTCCCTATCTTTTTTCTGCCCCAGGCTCCAGAGTGGGTGTGAGTGGTTCTCGGCCTGTTTAATGGCCCAGCCTTGGGAGCGGGTCCTCTCAGAGGTGGAGCTGGGCCTGTGGCTGGGTAATCGGGTTCTTTGTGCTTCTCCATGGTAGCACCCGCCTCCAGAGCATTCCAATGGGGCCTCAGCAAGGTGGCCTGGTGGCCTCTTGGGGCTGGGCCCTCCTCTTGGTCCCCCAGGCACGCTCAGGGGTGGGACTGGGACAGGGACTGGGTCTGGGACGTGGTATGCAGCCTGGATCCTGGGAGATGTGGGAGCCGGCGCTCCCTGGCCCTTGGCTGGCACCCAGCTGGCCATTGGTTGGTGGGAGAAGGGCCTTTTGTTCACCAAGACAAAGAAGAGATTGAAAAGTGTCTAGGGGGCTGAGGGGATTGGCGTTGGTTACCATGGTAACAGCCTGCTCCCAAGCCCCAGCCTCTGGCTCTTGGGCCCTCTTTCCCACTAAGGAGGAATGGGCTTGGGGCCAGCTGTGAGGGTGATGAGTACAGGCCTGGTCTGAACCGGACTGGAGCACCTGGTGCCACCCACAGCCAGCCTTTCACCTTCAGGGATTGCATGGGGCTCTGGTTGCCTGGGAAGGGGTCTCCAGGGCTTCTTGCCCTTTGAGCCGGGGCCAGCATCCCAGCACTCAGCAGGCAGGAGGGGGTTCTTGGGGTTTGGGCCAGCTGTCCCCTTCCTGCCTCCTGTGTCCCTCTGTCCTTGCTCATCACTTCTGTGCTAGGGATCCTCCTCTCTTCTCTGCTGTCCCTGAAGGCTGTGTTTGGAAGTCTGGGAGGGCCTGGTTGGTGGCCAGTGGTCTTTGTGCTTGCCGAGCTGGGAGACAGGCAGGCATGCTGTCTGCCAACCCCATGGTCTGCTGGGCCTGCATGCCTCCCTGCTCATGCGGTTGCGTTCTTCCCTCTGCGAAAAGCTTAGAGATGGATTTTGACAGAAGGGATATAAGCATAATCCTGGTTGGCATCAGCTTGAGTCTGCAGTGGCTGTGACTGCCTAAGGGCCTCCTGGTCCCCAGGCCTACCTGGCCAGTCTGCTCCTGGCTTCTCCCAGTGGGCTGGGCACAGCCCATCCAAGAGTGTGTGGAAGTGAGCTGGATCCCTCCTTAGGGCTCATGTGGCCCAAGAGAGGCCCGTGTTCTTTGGGAGGTGTGCACAGTGCCTGTGGGGACCAGGGAGAGCACTGCTGGGAGAGAGGCCCTTGTATTTGCTCCTTGGGTGGTCCCTTGAAACTTCAGGAAAGCTGAGCCTGTGCCCATGGCAGGAGCCTGTGTCCAAGCAAGGAGCCCCAGAATGTCCAGAGGGCCCTGGCCCTTTTCTCTTACCTTGGAGGATAGCTGAGGCTGGCTCTCCTGCAGGGCATGTGATAGAGGTTCTGGGGTCAGGTTGACAATCAGGGGCTGGACCCCTCTCCTGCCGCCAGCTGGTTATCTTGGTGGCTGCCGAGGAAGCCACTGTGGCCTGGGCCCTACAACTCCTCAGGTTGGCCCAGGGCCTCCAGGGTACCTGCCTGCCTCTGTGTGTGTCCTACCCCATGGGTCCCAGGGGAGACAGAGGCCCAGGCTGGGGACAGCAATGTCAGAAGGGCAGACCTGAGTCCAGGCCAGGCAAGGGACAGTCTGTGCTAGGGCCCTGTCTCTCTGGGAAGGGGCTGGGCCAGAGGCCGTGTGCAGTGTTTGGGAGACAGGTGGGGTGGCACTCTGGGGCCACATGCAGGAGAACTTGAGCTTGCTGCTGACGGATTCTCCTGCTCCCCCACCAGGGCACAGACTCCATCAAGATGGAGAACGGGCAGAGCACGGCCGCCAAGTTAGGGCTGCCTCCCCTGACGCCCGAGCAGCAGGAGGCCCTTCAGAAGGTGAGCACGGACCTCCCAGGGCACTGTGGGTGTAGGCCAGTAGACCAGGGGCAAGGGCAAGGGCAGGGTGCGGGGTAGGCCTGTCTCCCATGGGCTGGGCCCCCAGTGCTCCTCACTGCCGCCTCTCTCAGGCCAAGAAGTACGCCATGGAGCAGAGCATCAAGAGTGTGCTGGTGAAGCAGACCATCGCGCACCAGCAGCAGCAGCTCACCAACCTGCAGGTGAGCCCCGGCCGAGCCTCCACCTCCCTCCCCGCCACCGCCACCATCTCCTCCTCTTCACGCTCTTCCTCCTCCTGTGCCTGCGGCCGCCCCCACAAGCTGTTACAGTGCTCCGATTCTCAGAGACTCATGCTCGGGACCCTCAGGGTCCTCTCTGAGGCACAAGTGGCCCAGCCTTTCCCACCTGCTGCTCGCTGGAGCCCCTAATGCGCCACAGCCCTTTTCTTGGCTGCTTGCCTATAGCGCTCCCTGTTCCCCTTCCTGGTCGTTACACTGTGGCCTCTGGTCTCCCCTGTGCCCCCTGCCCCAGCTGTGCACAGCCGACGGTGGCAGCATACAGGGCATGGGCCTCCCTGCCCCCATGGCCTGGGTAAGACCGCTCAGGCCCCCACCCCTGCAGTGAGTCCAGACCACCTGGGCTCAGCCCTAGGACTGAGGGGACAGTCTGGAGGCCCCTCCCCTGGGGCCCTGCTCTAGGCCTGCGGCCGGGGGCTGCGATACCTTCGTGGGAAGAGGCCGGTGTGAGGCCGACAGGTTCCTGGGCCTCGAGCCTCACGCCCCCGCCCAGCCCTCAGACAGTCACACTGCCAGGAGATGTCCTGGCCATTCACTGCGTTCCACCACCCTCCTCCCTCCTCCCTCCCTCCCTCCCTCCCCCCCTTTCCCCCTTTCCTTTCTGCCCCGGCCGGCCCAGCTGCAAGGCTGCAGGGCAGGGCACATGGGGCGCTGCGGCCCCCCTGGGCAGGTGCCAGCGGCCGGCAGTGTGGAAAGGCAGGCAGCCTCCCTGGCAGGGCGGGGACTCCGGGCCTTGCCGCTGTCTGCGTGAGGTGTTGACGAGAGCGGGAGACTGCTCGGCTCCAACAGACTGAACTCTGTCTTTACTGTCTTTCAGATGGCAGCAGTGACAATGGGCTTTGGAGATCCTCTCTCACCTTTGCAATCGGTCAATAGAAATGCTCACTTCTTCCGGGGCTCATGTCCTTAGTCAGGGCTAGAGGGGGGCAGTGCAGCCCACGTGCTGGGGACCTTGCTCCCCTGGCCGGCCCTGCCCGCCAGCTCTGGACGAGCGCAGCAGAGCGCCAGGCGTGGTGGGGCCAGTGGTGTGGGCACCCACCCGGGACCGCCCCTGGGGAGGCCTCCATCTGCTCTGAGGGCCCACCTTAAAACTAACCGGCCAGGTAACTGCGGAGGGCAGCCGGCCAGGGCGGGTAGCTGCCGGCACCAAGCCCGTCTGCGCCCACACCACCTGCACACACGGGGTGCACCCATGGCCTCCAGCCCCGTCAGTCTCCAGGCTGCCTGGCTCTTGGGTTGGGGTCAGGCCCCTGAGGAGAGAGGGGTCCTAACTCATGGCCCCATCAGACCCTGGAGGGAGGATGGATGGATGGGGTGGGGGTGGGGGGACCCAAGCAAGCAAGGGAAGGGCAAGCAGGGCCTCGGGCCTGGCTGTCAGTAAGGGGCAGAGGCCACGCAGCCAGGGTGGAGGAGGCAGGGGCCGCAGCTATGGCCTTGGCTGTGGTGGGCAGAGGAGTCCGGGAAGGAGGTGCCCCTCCCTTTCCCCAGAGGCAGGCTGAGGAGGAGGCCAGGCCCCATCTCGGGGTTCCTGAGGGGAAGACACGGCCCCTTCTCTGGGAGCCTCTGTGCAGAGGGGGCGTCCCTGCGTGTGCGGCTCCGGTGGGACGACACGCCTTATTCTCTCCCGGAAGCATCTGAAAGGGAGCCCAAGCCGGGGTTCTGGTCAGGGAGAGAACTCTCAGCCTGCCTGGGGATGGGGCCTTACACTGAAGAGGAGACACGACCCTGTCTTGGGGGAACCATGGCCTGAGGGACAGGCCTGGTCTAGTCTCTGGGGAGCCTGCTGAGCGAGGGGGATGTGATTCCACCTTTGGGGGGCTTTGCTCTGAGTAGGGAGCCTGAGGCCAATTTGTTAGGGGCCCAGTTTTAGGAGAACACAGTCTTATTTTCAGGGAATTCCTAGTTGAAAGGAAGATACCTCACCTTGGGAGGTGCTTCCAGGCCCTTCTCCATGGGAGGGGGCGGTCTGACCTGTACTAGGCCAGCTGATGTCTAAAGAGGGAAACTGGTCTCTGGCCACAGGGCCTTCTTTTATGGAGAGGGGCAGGGCCTGGCTCCAGCTCTGTCTGCTTTGCCTGCCCTGGCCCGCAGTCTCCCTGTGGCCCGCTGCGTGTGGCTCTGGAAGTCCCCTGCCTGGCAGGTCTCCTGTGAGGTGGCAGGGGCGAGAACCTGTCCCTGAGGGTGTGGGGAAGTCCTTCAGCACAGCAGCCAAGCTCACAGCCAAGGACCTGGACTGGCCAGGCCTGTCACCTCCCCAGCTCCAAGGAGCCTGGGGTCTTCTCTTAGGGTCTCTGCTACCTCATGGTGCCCCTGGGGTCCAGGCCAGTGGTCTCACCTGGGCCTGCTCTCTTGGCGGCAGGTACGGGCTCCAGGCAGCTCCTTTGTGAGGAGTTGCAGGGCACAGCATGAGCCCCCACCTCAGTTGGCCCCACATGAGCAGCTGCTCCTCATTCTGTCTTCAAGGAGCCCCCATCCAGGCTCCTGAACTCCTCCCCTGGGGTCTCTTCTGGGCAGTGATTGCCCTGTCTTCTGCCCTCCTCTCTTCGACCACCAAACCAGTGGGTCCCTCCAGCCTGGATGGCTCCTCCTTCCCTCTTCTGTTGTGATCCTTGGCTGGGACAGTGGGAGGATCTCCCAGCCCAGCCTGGGATACCTGGCCCCCAGACTGGAGGGATGGTCTGGGTGGGAGGGCACACAACCCTGCCTCCTGATCATCTGTCGGCTTTGCTGCCGCAGTCTGCCTGGGACCTTGGCGGGCTGGGGTGCATCTGTGTCCTGCCGCTGGGCCTGGCCTTCCTTCTTGGGGTGGCGGGGTCCTGCGACCCCAACACCCTGACTGCAGGGATCGAGCCGGCACCTCCCTGCCACGTGGGGAGCCCTCCCCACAGCAGGGCTGAGTGGGTGGGCCAGGAGGGGAGTGGGCTGCCCAGCCTCCTGCCACCCCTGACCAGCCAGCGGTTCTCTCCCCTCTGTCCTGATGCAGATGGCGGCTCAGCGGCAGCGGGCGCTGGCCATAATGTGCCGTGTCTACGTGGGCTCCATCTACTATGAGCTGGGAGAGGACACCATCCGCCAGGCCTTTGCCCCCTTTGGCCCCATCAAGAGCATCGACATGTCCTGGGACTCCGTCACCATGAAGCACAAGGTCAGCAGGCTTGGTCTGCCCTGGCCTATTTTGGGCTCGCCCCCAGCACTGGGCTCACCCGGCCTGACAGGTGTGTCCCTGTGTCTAGGGCTTTGCCTTCGTGGAGTATGAGGTCCCAGAAGCTGCACAGTTGGCCTTGGAGCAGATGAACTCGGTGATGCTGGGGGGCAGGAACATCAAGGTAAGGCAGGGTGACAAGGCCTCCATCCCACAGGCATGCAGGGTGGCCCCTCCACAGAAGCCTTTTGTGGCTGGGCCTGGGTTGACGTGTCTCTCCATGTTGCTGCCTCTTCCCCAGGTGGGCAGACCCAGCAACATAGGGCAGGCCCAGCCCATCATAGATCAGCTGGCTGAGGAGGCACGGGCCTTCAACCGTATCTACGTGGCCTCTGTGCACCAGGACCTCTCAGACGATGACATCAAGAGTGTGTTTGAAGCCTTTGGCAAGATCAAGTCTTGCACGCTGGCCCGGGACCCTACAACTGGCAAGCACAAGGGCTATGGATTCATTGGTGAGCTGGGGCGGCTGAGGTAGGATGGGGGCCACCCAGGACTGGGGTTGGCCCTGCTCACTGCTGCCCTCGCCCACAGAGTATGAGAAGGCTCAGTCGTCCCAAGACGCCGTGTCCTCCATGAACCTCTTTGACTTGGGTGGCCAGTACTTGCGGGTGGGCAAGGCTGTCACACCGCCCATGCCCTTGCTCACACCGGCCACGCCTGGAGGCCTCCCACCTGCGGCTGCTGTGGCAGCTGCTGCAGCCACTGCCAAGATCACAGCTCAGGTGAGGGCCCACACAGCTGTGTCAGCATGATGGCGGGTGGGTGGGCGGGCTCCTGATTTTGTAGACTGATTGAAGGTGATGTTGAGTAGCTAGACCAGGGACTGATGATGGTGACCTTTTGGGTTGCAGGAAGCAGTGGCTGGAGCAGCAGTACTGGGTACCCTGGGCACACCTGGACTGGTGTCCCCAGCACTGACCCTGGCTCAGCCCTTGGGGGCTTTGCCCCAGGCTGTCATGGCTGCCCAGGCACCTGGAGTCATCACAGGTGAGTCTAAGTGGGTCCAGATTCTCTCCTCTCCTGCCGTGGCATCTCTCTTCCCGCTGCCCTCAGCTGCCTGACTCAGGTGGTCCAGGTGCAGTCCTCTGAGCCCAGGGTAGGCCATCCATGGCCGGCTAGCTCTGTGCCTTTCTGGGAAGGGGGGTGGTGGGGGGTGACTGCTGGACCTGGTTGGTTTTGCTGCAGGTGTGACTCCAGCCCGTCCTCCTATTCCGGTCACCATCCCCTCCGTCGGCGTGGTGAACCCCATCCTGGCCAGTCCTCCAACGCTGGGTCTCCTGGAGCCCAAGAAGGAAAAGGAAGAGGAGGAGCTGTTTCCCGATTCAGAACGGCCAGAGATGCTGAGCGAGCAGGAGCACATGAGCATCTCAGGCAGCAGCGCCCGCCACATGGTGATGCAGAAGCTGCTCCGCAAGCAGGAGGTGCGCCACGGGGCCGGTGAGGGGGGGACGGTAGGGGAGTGGGGCCGAAGCACTCAGCCGTTCCCCCCCCCACAGTCCACAGTGATGGTTCTGCGCAACATGGTGGACCCCAAGGACATCGATGACGACCTGGAAGGGGAGGTGACAGAGGAGTGTGGCAAGTTCGGGGCTGTGAACCGTGTTATCATCTACCAGGAGAAGCAAGGCGAGGAGGAGGATGCAGAAATCATTGTCAAGATCTTTGTAGAGTTTTCCATAGCCTCTGAGACTCATAAGGCCATCCAGGCCCTCAATGGGCGCTGGTTTGCTGGCCGCAAGGTGGTGGCTGAAGTGTACGACCAGGAGCGTTTTGATAACAGTGACCTCTCTGCGTGACATTGGCCCCTTTCCCTGGACTTGTACTTGCTCCGTGTTTCCTCTGGGTTTTATAGTGATAACAGTGGTGTCCCTGGGGCCAGGCACCCTCTGCCCAGCCCAGCGTATAGTGCGGATAAAGGTGCGGATGCTGCTGGCCTTGAACGTCCGTGTGTCTGCCGTTGGTCCTGTCATCCATCCTCGGTGTGTGTGTCCTTAGGGGCTCTAGGGTGAGGCGGCAGGAGTGGCGAGGTGCGGGTCCTCTAGCCCTGCTGCATGCATGGAGGCAAGCGGGTCCTCGGTGGCGCGGGACCTGGGGAGGGGGTCGGCGCCCTGGGCTCTGTCCCGCGGGTGCCGGAGGCTGGGCGGGCGGGGCTGCCTGGGGCGCCTGGCTCCCGGGTGCGGGCGCGCAGCCACCCCGTCCGCGCAGGGTGGTGCTGGGAGAAGACGGCCCCGTGACACCTCGACCCGCTGGACAGCGCGCGCTGCCAGTGCCTTCGTGCCGCGGCGCCGGCCTTCAGTTCGAGGGAGCAGCCTGGCGTGGTCGCCTCCCGGAAGGAGGCTGCGCGATGAGACGCGGGGTCAAGTCCGAGGGGCCAGAGGCCGGGCTGAAGACGAGGCCTCGGCCGGCGGAGGGGGCGGCCCGGCGTGGACTGCAGCTCCCACAACTCTCCGCGCGGGGCGGGCCCGGCTTCCCGGCAGGCTGTGCGCGGGGCCGCTACGGGTCGTCGGAGGCGGCGGCGCGCAGGGCCTTCTGGGGGCCGCAGTCCGGGCGTGCTGGGCGGCGAGGGCCGGACTCGGCTTCCCGGCGGGCTGCGCGGCGGCCGGGTGGGTGTCGGCGGGGCAGTCCGGCGGGCAGTGGCGGTTCCGGTGCGGCACGGCGAGCGGACGGGCGGGCGGGACGAGCTGAGCGGGACCGAGCGGGATGCGGAGCCGCCGCCGCCGCTCCCCGCGCCTCCTGAGAGTCTGAGACCCGCCGGGCCGCGCCCCCCGCCCGGGCCCGCAGTCCGAGCGTTCCGCGCGTTCCGAGCGCGGGCCGGGCCCAGCGCCGGCCCCGGCCGCGTCCCCGTCCAGTCCTGGGCGGCCCGCCCCCTGCCCGCGCCCCCTCTCTCTGCGCGGCGCCCATGCGGACTGAGCCCCGCCCCCCGGCCCCGAGCCCGCCGAGCGCCGCCGCCGGAGCCCGCGCCGCCCGCCCGCACCATGCTCAAGTGCATCCCGCTGTGGCGCTGCAACCGGCACGTGGAGTCGGTGGACAAGCGGCACTGCTCGCTGCAGGCTGTGCCCGAGGAGATCTACCGCTACAGCCGCAGCCTGGAGGAGCTGCTGCTCGACGCCAACCAGCTGCGCGAGCTGCCCAAGGTGAGCGGCCGCCCGCACCTGCCGCCCGCCGGCGCGCGCCCAGCCCCCGGCTCCTCGGTCGGCAGAATCTGCCTGGGCGAGCCACCGCAGCTTCCAGCCGGCCCTGCTGGTTTGCACTGGCCAGGTCCCCACCCCAGCCAGCCCCACCCTCCCCTCCCAGCCGCCCTGGCTGGCACAGGTGGCAGCGGTCATCAGGTGCTTGCCTGGGGATAGCGATTGTCACCGAGTCTGGAGGAGGAGCCTCACAGAGTAAAATCCGTGGGGATTCAGGGAGGTTGGTGGGATTACGGTGGAACTTGGGCTCGGGTGGCTGATGAGTACCGGCTTGTTGGGCCGCTCTGAGGTGGGGTCCAGGCCTCCTCTCTTTTTCTTCCTGGGTGCAGGCAGGGGTGAGTGGGGAAGCTTCTGTCAGATCTGCTTGTAGGCTCTCTTTCTTTGCCTTTGTTTCTCAGGGTCAGCTGTTTTCCTAAGACTGCTCCAGAAAGGAGAATGGAGAAAGCAGATTAGGAAGCATCTGTTTTCTGGAGATGGGGTGCCAAGTGGCTGATGCCTAAGAATTGGGTGCCCCAAAGAATGTGGCCCCGCTCTGGTCCTGGCAGTGACATCTCTGTTCTCTTTGGCCACCTGCAGGCCTTGCACATAGCACAGTGCCCGTGGTGCCCTGTTGTTTTTGATAAGGTTCTTTTGGGAACCATTTACTGAGTTTTTGCTGCAGAACCAGACCAGGTTCGTTGTTGGGGTGCAGTAGCAGAGGCCAATGTGGGTCCCTGGAGGATGGCAGAAGTGGTTTAAGGGCTGGGTGGGCCCTGAGGTAAGACACAGAACAGGGGATAGGAGCCTTGTCTGGTTGTGAGCAGGTCCCTTCTTGGAGTGGAGGCCGGCCTGGGGAGTGGAGGGAGGCGGGCACAGTGGGCGTGTGCACTGTGTGTTTCTTTGCTTTCCTTGCCACAAACGGGGTGTCGTGGCTGGACTCCAGGACCCTGTGTGACCTGGAGGAGGCAGAGGCCCGAGGACCCTTGACTTGTGACACCCATGTGTCCAGGAGCTCTTCTCTGCTCTGGAGTGGTCTCTGCCACACAGCCCGTGTCCTCCCTGCCCACAGCCCTTTTTCCGGCTGCTGAACTTGCGTAAGCTGGGCCTGAGTGACAACGAGATTCAGCGGTTGCCTCCCGAGGTGGCCAACTTCATGCAGCTGGTGGAGCTGGACGTGTCCCGGAATGGTGGGGAGCCTTGGCTGGGGCTGGGTGGATCCAGGGGCGTGTCCGCTGGGGCCACAGATGTCTTGCAGGTCACGACACTTGTTCACTGTGATCCTCTAACAGATATCCCTGAGATCCCGGAGAGCATCAAGTTTTGCAAGGCTCTGGAGATCGCGGACTTCAGTGGGAACCCTCTCTCCAGGTGGTTGGCAGCGTGTGGTAGAGTCGGGAGTGGCTGTGGGTCTTGCAGCCTGTGGTGGGTTCGGGAGGGGCTCTGGGTCCCGCAGCCCTGCTCTGGTCATCTGGAAGCTTCTGCTTCCTCCCATACAGGCTCCCTGATGGCTTCACTCAGCTGCGCAGCCTGGCTCATCTGGCCTTGAATGACGTGTCCCTGCAGGCGCTGCCCGGGGACGTGGGCAAGTGAGTGCCCTCTCGGGTGGGGGATGGGGCTTGGATTGGCCCTGCCCTTGCCGCCACTGCCTGCCTGCCTTCCTCATGCCTCAGCTCCTGGTCTCCCTTTCAGCCTTGCCAACCTGGTGACCCTGGAGCTCCGGGAGAATCTGCTGAAGTCCCTGCCAGCGTGAGTGTGACAGGCATTTTCCCAACGGCCTGGGGCAGCGCCACGGCCTGGGGACCAGGGTTGCATGGTGACACCTCACCCTGATTCCTGTGCAGGTCCCTGTCTTTTCTGGTCAAGCTGGAACAGCTGGATCTGGGAGGCAACGACCTGGAAGTGCTGGTGTGTGGAGGCCCGACAGACGGCAGGGCGGAGACCCGAGGGCCGCGGGTGGGGGCTGGGTGCCAGGGCGTGTAGTCTCCTGGGCGTGGCGCAGCAGGAGGCCTCGCCCCACAGCGACTCTTTTCTCTGTCCCTTCTTGCAGCCGGACACCCTGGGGGCTCTGCCCAACTTGCGGGAGCTGTGGCTGGACCGGAACCAGCTGTCAGCACTGCCTCCGGTGAGTGAGAGTGGGGCTGGCCTTCTGCCTTTACCTGTCTGTGCTCTGACTTTCTGCCTGCCTGCAGGAGCTTGGGAACCTGCGGCGCCTGGTATGCTTGGACGTGTCAGAAAACCGGCTGGAGGAGCTGCCGGCCGAGCTCGGTGGGCTGGTGCTGCTCACGGACCTGTTGCTGTCCCAGAACCTGCTGCGGCGACTGCCCGACGGCATTGGTCAGCGTGCCTGGGGGTGCGGGGTGCTGCTCATAAAGCCTGGCTCCAGAAGGAGCAGGGGGTGTCGGGGCTGTGCGTGGTGTGGAGCACGGGAGGATCCTAGGTCTGCCCAGGCTCTGGGACCTGTTCCTGAGGAGGGGTGGTGGGGCCCTGGGGCATCCCAGAAGGCTGAGGAGGCAGCTGGTGGTGCTGAAGGGGGCGGTGGAGCCCATGAGAGCAGAGGGTGGGTAGTGCCACTGGAGCCTGGTGTTTTCTCAAAGGAGGTTGGGTAAGGCTTGTTGGGGCGAGGTAGGCAGGACCCTCCTGAAGTACAGCGGCGGCAAGAGGCACTGGGGGCCTCGCCCGCTGCCCTGAGGGCACCTTTGCCCAGGTGGGTAAAGCATGTCTGTGGCTGTGCTCAACCATGTCACCCTGTCTGCCCGACACCAGGTCAGCTGAAGCAGTTGTCCATTCTAAAGGTAGACCAGAACCGGCTGTGTGAGGTGACCGAGGCCATCGGGGACTGTGAGAACCTCTCTGAGCTGATCCTCACGGAGAACCTGCTGATGGTAGGGTCCAGTTTGCAAGGCAGAAGGGACGGTAGGGTCCAGCCTGCCAGGCGGAAGGGATGGGGCCAGTGGGCGTGTAGAACAAGGGCAGGCATCTGCCTGTGTGTGCTGCTGGGGGTGCTGGCGGTGGCCTGACCCATGGAGCTCTTTGGACAGGGCTCCTTTCCCATCAGAAGGGGAGCCTCCTGGCCAGAGGTGAGGTGGGGCAGCAGAGTCAGGGCAGGGATCTTTGCCCTTTGCAATGAAGAATCCAGGTTGTGTGTTTTTCTGGCGTGTGTTGTAACATGGGAGCGGTTGCAGAGAAGGCAGGGATGGGATGGATGGGTCTGTAGGAAGGGCAGATTGGGAGCAGGAAGCCATGCTGCTCCCCAGGGGCATCTGGCTGCCCCTCACAAATCAGGGCAAGCTGAGGCCCACTCCAGGGCAGGGCTGAGGGATGGTGGTGCTGCCATCCCCAGGCTGGGAAACAGGAGCAAGCTGTGCGAAGGGTGCTTATTCGTGGGAGGGGTCCTCAGTGGGGAGAAGAAGAAAGGGAGTCTAGGGTTTAGGGTTTTGGGAAGGGGCTGGCCCTGAGCAGGCCTCGGGAGCCCTAGGAATGGCAGGGCAGATGAGTGGGGCACCAGACAGGCTCGCAGATCAGTCCAGGGCACCCATGGGTGAGAGCCAGGGATGACTTGGTGGGGTGCTTTGGTGGTGGGGACTGAAGGCTGAGGGCAGTGGGCAGAGCTTGGGGAGCAGAGGGCACAGAGTGGGATGGAGACGGCTTCCGTGGTCAGGTCCTTGTCCAGGTCTCCAAGGGCTGCGAGGGGTCCTGGCTGGAGCTGGCCTGGGGTCTCTGTGGCTCTGCCCCCATGGGCTGTCATTTGTCTCCCACTCCCAGCAAGCCTTTAGCACT